TCTACCATTCCAATCCTGCCACTTCTTATTTACCTTATCATCATCACCTACATATCACTTACACATACACCAACAAACCTTTGACAATAAACTCCAATAATCACTTTTCTAAACCTACAATAATCTTTACAGGTGACGAAAGGAGTGCAGCTGCCATCTTCTACTTGTTGCGATTGAAACTTGGCTTACCCCACACCCTCGGCTACCTTTAATTGTCAGCTTGCCATTTGATCCGACTCCCAAAGAAAAATCGACATACCATGCAACTATTTTGGTTTCTATATAGTGGTTTCATCCATTGTTTTTGGTTTTGGTCTGAAACTTTGTTTAGCATATTAGTCGTTAAAAATGAGAAAAAAGAAAAAAAGGAATTTTTTTTTTTTTTTTTCCTACACGAGCTGTCATCTTTGTTCCTATTGATTAACATAGTCCCTTGGACGAAACAATTACAGGATTCCATTGTAGCCGTACCAACTAGAAGATCATGACTGAGACACCGTTTGGCTCATTTGAGTCTCGTAAGGTATCAATTTCGTTTATATTGAGAATTTTTACTTTGAATTGGGTATTTTGGCTTGTCAAGTCAAGTTAAAAAAAAAAATTTAAATTAAATTAAAAAAAATCCTTTGGATTTCTAATTGATTTATTTTAATTTAAAAAGGAAAAGAAAAAGAAATATTTCAGCGTAAATATCAAACTTTATGAGTCCAATTGTTGATAAATGGAAAAATAAAGTTCTTTGACCTTCATTGTCTTTTAAAGGATTCCTATCTTTATTGGAACAAATTGAGAATTTGCTTTTACGAGTCGACCAATCACCTGCTGTTTCCATGCTCACGTCTCTTTCTACACTTATCACAGCACTGGTCTTCGATGGGCTATTAAAACTTGAAGATTTTGTATACAAGAAGCAGTTGCTTCTTGCCTTAGCGAAATATTTTTTGTTATGGAACCCGATACCCCTTATAGTGATGAGATAATGTATGATATCTTTCCATTAATTATATTATATCTTATTGACAAATCAACCAACTTGCATGCTAAGGGAGTTAGAATACTACAGACTATGGCTAATATGAGATACTCTATCATCATGTTGGATTTAGATTGTGAGCATATTCTAATAAACATTTTTCAACATTTTGTTTTAGTCTTAAGAGAAACTCATTCAAGGAACATCTTCACACCTATAGAGACTATTTTGACCCTTATATGGAAAGAAAGAGACAATATCTCTCTGTACTTGATTACCTTTCTTTTGGAAAGTGCACAAAATAAAAATAAGCAGGTTTTCTTGTTGCATTTAATGTAGAGGAAAGACTTTTTGAGAATTGTACTTACACGATCAAACCTTATTTGTCTCAATTTATAAAATCTTTAGGGTTTTTAAATGATTATAGTGTAGTTGTTTTTTTCCATTTGCATAAAAGATAAGAGTCTGAACACTGTATTATGTCTACTACCGTGATCACATCTGTAGTTGGGGCATTGCCCATAACATTGCTACCAAAGTCAAGCATTCCATCTGTCATCAACCTAGTGCCAAAATTGATATCGCCTACTCTTTTGGATGAGACTTTGTTTGGCATTAACTCAATTGCATGATACTCCCTGAGTTACCACGTTATTTTTCAAGGCCAATGTCCGATTGTACACTTTTCCTATTTATATTAGAATGTTGCCTACTAATTATCGACATATTGTGTTAGCTCATCCTTTTTTTAATGTTCCTAAATTTCATCCTATGCTAAAAAGACAAAGAAAAAAAAATTTCAATTATAAGCAATTTAAGTTTGGAGACTCCAACAGTAATTACTATTTTTTATTGTGTGTTTCATTGACTCGGTTTCCTAAACTCGTTAAGAATTTTTTTTAAGCATTCATCTAAAGACAATCAATTTGACCGCCTGTCATATTTGAATGAAAGTTATATTTTTAGTGTAGAAAAATTGTTTCCTAGTCGTGGCGCATTCAAGCCTTCTTTCTCGCAATCATTTTTTCTACATGCCAATCTGTAGTGCTAGATCCTTGTGCACTTCTTTTCGCAAAATCAATTGAAAATTTTATGGATGATCTGCATGAGTTGTTGCCTTTTGGAGTCCTTCTAGGAAAGACTATTGTTCTCAGGTATCAAATCAATTAAGCCCCCAATCGGGAAAGCTTAAGCGAAAGTCAAAGCGTAGGGTGAGGGGAAAGGGGGGAAGCCACTAAATTGAAAACTTCGCTGGACCAATGATCTCTTTAGATTTTTTTCTTTCTTTTTTTGGGTGTGACACTCCACGAGAAATGAGCGAAAGAATTAAGTTTGTTGCACTGATATCCTATCGATATTTGGTTAGGAGACACACTTGGTCAGATCATAATATTGAGCATAATTTATAGATTCAGTTGATGTCATATGATCAGTTTAAATATTTGGTTCTTAAGAACGGTCATCCTCCTTGATATGAATACAACAAGATGTTATCCAAGGTTCAGTACAGACATTTGGATAGGTCAAAAGATCGCCCTTCCTAAAAAATGAATATCCAATCTAACTCGTCGAAGTTGAGTTCTCTCATTTGGGAAGAAATAATTGAGATCAGAATAAGAATAAATATAGAAATTAATAGTAATTAGGATTTTGTAATGAGTTTGATTTATTATATTAGTTTTGATATTTTAATACAATTAGATTATTAGATGTTTGTTTCCTTTTCAACATCTTTCAGGTTTTTTTGCTCTATAAATAGAGAGGCTTATTCAAACCTCATTCGAGTTTCATTTTTTTTAAAACTCATTTTCAATTATACATTCCTGAACAAAATACTTTTATATGTAAATCAAAAAAAATCCTTATATTTTAATCACACATTCTCAAACAATCACTATACAAAAATACTCCCCCCCCCCCCAAATAAAAAATGGGGCTCAATGTAACAACCACCATTGATGAAAACTCCAAGATCAGATCAGCTTAGCTTTCAATATCCAAAATCATATGTAGTAATCGCTACCGTTGCTCTTAACAACCACCCAGGGTCGATGCCTTGGGCCTCATATTTCAAGGGGCCTCTAAAAATGAAAGAAAGCCCAAAAAACCCCCAATCCGAAAGACCAAAACCCTCAAATCCCTTAGGGAGGAAAAATAAAATTGAGCAATGAGAAACATACTGTCACCGTCTTTTTCTCCAATACTCCAACCGGCAAGCATCTTCATTCTACACCAAAAAATCTCTCTATTCCATTAAATTTTCAGTCTAAAAACCTAATTTCTGAAGTACCCATTGGCCATTGACTTTTCTTCATTACGTTTTCGTCAATTTCTTGTTGTGATTTGAATTTGCTTTGCAAAAACCTCACCTGAAGTGTACCATTGATATTCTATTCTTCTGTAAATCCAACACAGATGGTGAACTCGGTCACAAAGTTTATGATAAACAATGGAATATTTTGAGAGAAAAATATTACCAGGTGATATAGGTTGGTAGAAGTAGACACCCTCAAGGACAAGCAAGGCAGATCATAGCACACCGATGCAAGGCCATCGACCCTCATAGGGCGTTCTACCACTACACCCAGGGAGCGCTCTACCACTACATCTAGGGAGCGCTCTACCACGACCCCTAAAGGGCGTTCTACCATTACACCCAGGGAGCGCTCTACCACTACATCTAGGGAGCGCTCTACCACGACCCCCGAAGGGCGTTCTACCATTACACCCAGGGAGCGTTCTACCACTACACCTAGGGAGCGCTCTACCACTACGTCTAGGGAGCGCTCTACCACAACCCCCAAAGGGCGCTCTACCGCTATCCCAAGAAATCATTCTACCACTAAGCGAAATCCTCAACGGGAATGATATCCTTTGTCCAAACACTTAGTCATAAAACCTTTAATGAATCGACAAGGTTACATGGTCGCTGATATAGGTACAATCTTCAGACGGGAAGTTAAGGACTCATCACTCAGAACGTGGGTGTAGTGGGAGTACCATCGTGGGACACGTGGCACCACAACCGCCCAGCGGTTACCTAGTGCCTAATGTCTATAAATACCCCCGGATGATACACAAGTAAGGGATGATTTTCTTTGAGCTCCCATTCTCTTTTTAGCCATCTGATTTTCAAATATATTGTTTCCAAGTCTGAAAACTAATTCTCACGCTGGAGTTAAAACGGGGGAGAAAGCCCCACCTTCATTTTTCAGGTCTTGCATACTTGACGAAGTTGTGGAAACGCCAAACATTACCGGGTAAACAGAAGGGTGTTGAATCACCGCCTTTCATTGGCGCCGTCTGTGGGAATATTCATTTGAACTAAAAAGCCATGTCAAGAAGACGAACAAGAAGTGATACTCACCTGGTTGGGAATACGGCGGAGATGGAGTCGGAGTCGGAGTCAGTTGCAAGGGGTCATGAACCACCACCGCCCCCTCAGTATGTGACGCAGAGTCAATTCAGCACTTTGGAAAACCAGTTGGCAGCAATGATGGTGCTTTTACAAGACCAGTCGCAGAGAACCACCATCCCTCATTTAAGCCCGACGGAAGTGACGAATCAACAACCGCCTCAAGCGCCACCCGCGGTTGTCTCACCCACCTCTCAGCGGGGAGCGGGAGACGCGGGAGCCCCAATAACCGGAGCTCAACAGCCCCCGCAAACCATGGTAGACCTGGAACGAAAGATGGAAGAAATCATGTCACAGAAGATAGATGATGCGTTGTCCAAAAGGAAAGATAGGCGGAGACAGATGGTTTTGGAGGAAGACCCGTTTGCCCTAGAAATCATGGTGGTCCCTTTGCCTAAAGGCTTCAAACAGCCCATGATTGAAGCCTATGATGGAGTCACGGACCCGCTTGACCATCTACGAACCTTCGTAGATCTGATGAGACTTTATGCCGCCCCGGACGCCGTGATGTGCCAATCCTTTCCCCCCACGCTCAGGAGGGAGGCTAGGGACTAGGTAGCAACCTTGGCCCCGCGCTCCATCAAGTCATTTGATGAGCTCTCCGAGAGCTTTATGGCTTATTTCCTAAGCAGCAAGAGGAAGAGGAAGATAGCCATTGGGTTAATGCAGGTCGTACAGGACAAAGACGAGTCATTGCAGGAATACTTAGCCAGGTTCAGCCGGGCGACTCTTGGCATTAGAGACCTGCAAATGTCCGCAGTGGTTACGGCCTTGATGAATGGAACGCGAAACCGGGCCTTTAAGATGTCACTCTCCAAGAACCCCCCGGAGTCGATGCATGACATATTAAAGAAGGGAGACAAGTATGTCGATACGGAGGAAGCAGAGAAGGTAACTAAAAATCTCAGGGATGGAAGGGAGACGGAAGCTAATAAGCGAAAAACATATGACGAGCAAAAGCACAATGATAAAAATAAGCAGAAGAGTGAATGCACGAGCAAGGGTTATGTCCAAGACCGGTCAGTCAGGCAAAAACGAGAGGAGGTCAAGACACCCACCCCTTTGAACATTCCACGAACAAAGTTATTGATGGAGATACAACACATGAAGGAGCTCGAATGGCCTAAACCAATGCTAACCCCTTCGGGCAAGAGAAATCAAAGTAAATACTGCCATTTTCATAGAGATCACGGGCATAATACCGAAGAATGCCTACAGTTAAAGGAAGAAATTGAGCGTCTGCTGAGACGGGGGCTATTGGCAAAGTATGTGAAAAACGATAAGAGCAGGCAAAGGGTCGAAGGTATACCCCCACCAAGAGTAGGAGTGATAAACATGATCATTGGAGGAGTAGCATCGGACGACGACTCAAATTCAGCTAGGAAGAGTTATGCGCGTTCATTAAGGGTCTGCTCTATACAGAAAAAGCAAGATTCAACTAGAGTATAACTTTCGATGAAGAGGACTTGATTGGTGTAACTCACTCCCATGATGACGCCTTAGTAATAGTAGGCGATATTGCGAATTTTGACGTGAAGAGGGTATTAGTCGATGGAGGGAGTGCGGCAAATGTCCTCACCTGGGATGCCTTCTTGGGTCTAAAAATCCCTCAAGAAAGGTTGAAGGTGGTGACTACCCCCCTACAAGGCTTTGGAGGGGCAACGGTGATACCAGAAGGGACTGTAGAGCTTTCAGTCACGCTTGGGACATACCCAGTGACAGTGGTGATCGTGACTAATTTCTTGGTTGTCAAGACCCCCATGGCTTACAACGCTATCTACGGCCGGCCGTTGCTAAATGCAGCTAGCGCTGTCCCATCGACATACCATCAAATTATGAAGTTCCCAACCAGCAGGGAGATCGGGAGCGTGCGAGAGATCAGCATGCATCAAGAAAGTGCTATGTGGATAGTATACAAGCCGAAAGCCCACCATCAGTCATGATGCTGGATGTAGAACTTCCGAGGGAGCGGATCGAGCCGCTTGATATGATTGAAAAAATCTTTATTGACGAAGGAAAGGAGTTTCTTGTTGGAACAGGTCTGGGATCCGAAGAGAAGGAAAAATTGGCGAAGTGTCTAGCCGAAAATTTGGATGTCTTCGCTTGGAACCCAAAGGATATCCCGGGGATTAGCTCAACTGTCGCGCAGCACCGCCTCGGTGTCCAGCCATGGGCTAAGCCAGTGAAGCAGAAAAAGAGAAACCTTGCCCCTGAGAGGCAGGCTGCGGCCAGGGCAGAGGTGGAAAAATTGCTACAGGCGGGTTTTATCCGAGAGGTGCAATACCCCGAGTGGTTGGCAAATGTTGTACTTGTGAAGAAGTCAAATGGAAAATGGCGCATGTGTGTAGACTATACTGGGTTGAACAAGGTATGCCCAAAAGACTCATACCCACTTCCCAGAATAGATCAACTGGTGGACGCAACGTCGGGTCATGAAAGGCTCCGCTTTCTAGATGCATTTTCGGGGTATCATCAAATTTCAATGGCCGAGGCCGATCAAGAGAAGACGTCATTTATCACGGACTTTGGCACGTACTGTTACACAGCCATGCCATTTGGCTTGAAAAATGCAGGAGCGACGTATCAGAGGATGGTGAACAAAGTTTTTTGTGGGCTAATCGGGGATGTCGTAGAAGTCTATGTTGACGATATGGTGGTCAAGAGTTCCAGAGCCAATGACCAAGTGGCCTGTCTGCAAAAAGTGTTTGACGTTGCCCGACAAAGCAGATTAAGGTTCAATCCAGATAAGTGTGTTTTTGGTACCGCAGGTGGAAAATTTCTAGGTTTCATGATCACGCAAAGGGGCATCGAAGTGAACCCGGACAAAATTCGGGCAATCCTAGAAATGAAAAGCCCCACCAGCAGGAAGGAGGTTCAGAGGCTGACGGGGCGGGTAGCGGCCTTAAATCGTTTCATGAGCCGGGCGGCGGACAAATGCTACCACTTCTTCAAAGCTATAGGGGGCTCCTCCAATTTTGAGTGGACCCAGGAATGCGAAGAGTCTCTTAGGAACTTGAAGCAGTCATTACAAGAGCCCCCGATCTTGACCAGCCCATCTCCTGGGGACGTGTTGTGTCTCTACTTGGCAGTATCACCAAAGGCAGTCAGCGCGGTCCTGGTGAAAGAGTTCCCGAAGGCGCAGAAACCAGTCTACTATGTGAGCCAAGTATTGAGGGGTGCAGAAATAAGATACAGCCTGACTGAACAGCTGGTGTTTGCATTAATTGTCGCGGTCAGGAAATTGAGGCCTTACTTTCAGTCTCACACGGTGCAAGTAATGACTGACCAACCTATCAAGCAGATTCTACATCGGCCCGAGACCTCTGGGAGGCTGTTAAAATGGGCCATCGAGTTAAGCGAGTTTGATATCGAATTCAGGCCAAGGACAGCTATTAAGACACAGGCTTTAGCAGACTTCATCGTTGAGCTCACCACCCCACCCGAGCTCCCACCAGGGGAGCAGGCAGATTGGAAAATTTTTATCGATGGATCTTCAAATGGCGAAGGATCCGGGGCGGGGATCATAATGATAGGTCTGAATGAAGAAGAGTTGGAATACTCACTGCATTTTGAATTCCCAGCAACAAATAACGAGGCCGAGTACGAAGCAGTAATCACGGGTTTGGGATTGGCAGCCAGACTCGGGGTAACCTCAGTGGAAATTTGCAGCGACTCTCAGTTGATAATCGGGCAAGTGACGGGGGAATTCGAAGCAAAGGACGGAAAGATGGCTGCATATTTAATGGAGGTCAAAAACTTGCAGAAGGGGTTCACTAAGTTTAAGACAACTAAGGTCCCTCGAAAGGACAATGAGCGAGCGGACGCGCTAGCTAAGCTCGCATCAGCCAACCCTAGACGACTGCCTCGCACAGCCAGTGTGCAAATTCTGCGACAACCTAGCATCCAACACGTAATCGATGTTATGAATGTAGAAAATGAGGAAAGTTGGATAGACCCGCTGTTTGAGTATCTCACAAAGAATAAATTGCCGGAGGATGCTCTCATAGCCAGAAGGCTAAAAGTTCGGGCATCCTCGTTTGCCATCATCGATGGGCAACTCTACAAGCGAGGCTTCACAATGCCATATTTGAAGTGTTTGCGACCGACAGAAGCACAGGAGGTGCTAGTCGAAGTACATGCGGGAATTTGTGGCAACCACCAAGGGGCGACTACCCTTGCGTTCAAAACGCTTCGACAAGGATATTATTGGCCTAGTATTAAGGAAGATGCTAGAGAGTTGGTGAGAAAATGCGATGCATGCCAACGCCATGGAAATCTGATCCACATTCCGGCCGAGCAACAGACGGCAGTTTTCGGGGTGTGTCCCTTCTTACAATGGGGAATGGACATCTTGGGACCTTTGCCCCTATTAAAAGGACAAAGGAAGTTCTTATTAGTTGCCGTCGACTACTTTACTAAGTGGGTGGAAGCTGAGCCTTTGGCCACCATCACGACTGCAAAGATATAGGGATTCGTCTGGAAAAATATCATATACAGGTTTGGTATACCTTGGGTAATCATTACAGATAATGGAAAACAATTCGATAATCACAATTTTAGAGCCTTCTGCACCAGCTACCACATCGACCACAGGCTGACTTCAGTTGCTCACCCGCAGGCAAATGGGCAAGCAGAAGTGACCAACCGAACCATACTGTGGGATTTGAAGACAAGATTAGAAAAAGAAAAAGGACTTTGGGCTGAGGAGTTGCCCAATGTACTATGGGCATATCACACTACCTCCCGAGAGTCGACCGGGGAGACGCCATTCAAACTGGCCTTTGGGATGGAAGCCGTGGTTCCGGTTGAGATCTTAAGCGAGACAGGAAGGATGAAAGTCAAGCAACCCGACGACGCAGCAACTAGGGGAGAACTCGACCTCCTCGAAGGGGTAAGGGACAAGGCGGCGATAAGAATGATGGCTTATAAACGAAGAGTCGCTGAGTACTTCAACCGAAGAGGGAAGCCAAGGGTCTTCCAGCCAGGAGATCTCGTTCTAAGAGATGCAGCAGCGGCAGGACACCCCCCACCAAAGCTTGGTCCAAACTGGGAAGGCCCGTACGAAGTAATTCGCAGGTTGGGAAAGGGAGCTTACAGCTTGAAAGATATAAAAGGAAGGCCGCTAGGTAGACCATGGAATGCAGAACACCTCAAAAAGTATTACCAATAGAACTCAAAATGTACACGCCGGCTGCGCTTTTGTAAATATAGTAGATTAGGTTGCATTGCTTATTTTCTCTATGTAATGCCTCACAAAGGCACCCTTAGTTGTAACAATTTATCTTATTCAATGAAAGACCTTGGCAGTGACGGATGATGAGGGCGCTACGAAAGGGCCAGCCTAGTTGGGACGTCCCGGTGCTCCTACTGAGCTCACAAGACCAGGAATTTTTTATGCCAACAGGCAACTTTGAAATCCACGCCCACCCCACTAAGACATGCGGTCGACGTAGCCTACGTGGCTAAGTGGAGAGCCTTAAAAAGTCAAAAAATTGGCTAAGGCCCTTAACCACCAAATCACCCCCTGCGGTCGACATAGCCTACGCGGCTAGGTGGAGAGCCTTGGAAAGTAAAAAAATTGGTTAAAGCCCTTAACCACCAAATCACCCCCTGCGGTCGACATAGCCTACGCGGCTAGGTGGAGAGCCTTGGAAAGTCAAAAAATTGGCTAAGGCCCTTAACCACCAAATCACCCCCTGCGGTCGACATAGCCTACGCGGCTAGGTGGAGAGCCTTGAAAATTCAAAAAATTGGCTAAGATCCTTAACCACCAAATTGCCCCCTGCGGTCGACATAACCTACGCGGTTAGGTGGAGAGCCTTGGAAAGTCAAAAAATTGGCTAAGGCCCTTAACCACCAAATCACCCCCTGCGGTCGACATAGCCTACGCGGCTAGGTGGAGAGCCTTGAAAAGTCAAAAAATTGGCTAAGGCCCTTAACCACCAAATCACCCCCTGCGGTCGACATAGCCTACGTGGTTAGGTGGAGAGCCTTGGAAAGTCAAAAAATTGGCTAAGGCCCTTAACCACCAAATCACCCCCTGCGGCCGACATAGCATACGCGGCTAGGTGGAGAGCCTTGAAAAGTAAAAAAATTGGCTAAGGCCCCTAACCACCAAATCGCCCCCTGCGGTCGGCATAACCTACGCGGTTAGGTGGAGAGCCTTGGAAAGTCAAAAAATTGGCTAAAGCCCTTAACCACCAAATTACCCCCTGCGGTCGACATAGCATACGCGGCTAGGTGGAGAGCCTTGGAAAAAAAAAAAAAAAATATATATATATATATATATATATATATATATATATATGAACACTCCCCCGCACCATCAAGCAGTAAAAAGAAAAATAACATGAGAGACGACATTTTAAAGGAACCACGCATCCAGCGCCAATAATATCGAATGAAAGATGTGTTTATACGTTTGAAGAATTCTTGCCCACATCCCGAGCAAGTAGGAGATAACAAGGCTAAGCAAAAGTAAACACTAAAAAGGAAAAAACTAGCAAGGAAAACAACAACTAAGAAATGCTTCAGCTCGAAGGGGAGACATCCCCACTACCACCTTGTGATGAACGACCGAGTGATCTGGATGACTGAGCTACGCTCTCCTTCCCCTTGCGCTGTGCGAGAAATCTATCCAAGCCGGAGGGGTCTATAGAAGGATGCTCGGCCATAATCCACTCCTTGGAGAGCTTAATTGATGTTGACATCGCCTTCCCCCCATATGCGTTCAAAGCCTTAGCATAATCGGACGATGTCTTATACTGATCCACAGCCGCCTTGAGATCTCCAGCGTACTCATCTGAGGCCTTATACCTCTCAACCGCCTCTTCAGGAGCACGAGCCAAAACAGAGCGTAGGTTGTCGATCTCAGCGTCCGACATCTCTAGAGATTTCCTCAAGGAGGATATTTTCTTCTTGTGGTGATGAGCCTCCTTTTTCT